GACAGTAGGATGCCCCCCCCCCCCCCCCAAATCGAGCGGCTGCGACCCGACGCGGCAGATTGATTCCTACCTCACTATGTTGTAGGCCATTTTCTCAACCAGCCTATTTTCCCCATATCTTCCATATTCCACCTGCATTGTATGATCTGAGACGATGGAAGCTCTCTTGCAAGTGCTGCTTTTATCTTCCAAGAAGCACAAACCATTCTTCCCATCCCGCACCTTTTCACCTCTACATCCCAATTTCTCTGATGCCTCAACAGAAAACATCCTCGCTCAAGACTTGTTTTGACGAGATAGAAGAGACCAACGGCGATGACGAATGCAAGGCGTGGTTAAGCAGAGCTTTTGATTCAAGGGCTGAATTAGCAACTTTTGTCGCTGGGCGCCGGGAAGGAGGGGGAACCGGAAAATATGTTGGTTTTCTTAAAGGCTCCTTCAACTTCAGCTTTCGCTCCAGTTTCAGCGATGGACGGCCGGATGCCATTATTCGATTCCCAAAACCAGGACACACTGCCACAGCTCATAGGGATGAAAAGGTCGTGAATGAGGTCCAGGTCATGGAATACCTGCAGCAAATACCGATATTCCCGTTCCTCATGTTCACAGCTGGGGATTAAACGCCGAGAGTCCACAACACCTTGGTCCATTCATCATCATGGACTTTGTCAAGAACGCTTTTATCGACCCTCTTAAAGCAGCCGGATCGAGAAGACTTGGTTCTAAATCCGAGCATCGACAACACAACATTAGACAAGATCTATTATCAAATCGTCCATTATATGCTTCAGCTTTCTTAAATTACGTTTGCTAAGATCGAGCCATCTCGAAGGACCATGCTTCAAATGCATGGCATGTTGCCAGGCGACCTCTAACATACAATATGAATGAGTCGGCTACTGTCGCTGGCTACCCTGTTGGTCAATTTCCAACCACACCATTTGACTCTGCAAGGGATTACCTGAGATCAGTCGCGAACGAGCATTTGACCGACCTTTGGACCCAGCGTAACCTTGCCGATGATCCGGGAATCGCCCAAGACCCGTTCATTGCCCGTCGTCGCTTCGCACAGCTGATTTCAAAGTACTATGCTGAACACGACGAGCCATTCATACCCTTCTGCGACGACATGCGGCCTTCGAATATGCTTATAGACCCGGAAACACTCTAGATTACTGCCGTGCTCGATTTTGAGTTTACGAATGCCATGCCAGCTGAGTTCACGTATGACCCGCCGTGGTGGCTGTTGCTCTCTAGACCGGAAACCTGGCTTGAGCGCTGTTCGATGGAAGAATTCCTGGCATTCTATGAGCCTAGAATGGAGCAATTCTTGCGAGCTCTAGAAAGAGTGGAAAATGAAACAACATTAGAGTGCAAGCAACCCGGTAAACTGTCTCTTTCTACTAGGATGCGTGATTCATGGAGCACCAGGCGATTCTGGTTCGATTATGCGGCAAGGAAAAGCTTTGATGTGGACACCATCTATTGGGCCACATTATATCACTGTGGTACGGGTGTTGAGTTGCTTGATGACAAGGCGCGTGCAGAGATGGAGTCATTTACGCAGAAAATATGGGGCAGCTGAAGGCATACGAAGAGGAGTGTTCTGCTCGTTTTTCTTCAGAGATATAACGTATATGTAGTGTCGTCTTGATCTTTCATTGATATCAAATGCTTCACGATCGTACTGATTCCTCATTCTCCCTAATGACAACCCCAACTATAGAAACTAGTCGTACCATACAGCAACCACCGGTGGTGTGCGTAAGTACGAGATCAAAGCCAATCATATTCGAAACAGCCCCCAAACACACCCGTGACCCTTAACAAGGAGACTACGGGAGTTTATGTTGTGCTCGTCAATGGACAGCAGATGTGCGGTCTCGTTTTCGTGGACCAGGTCACTCTACGCCGACATATTCGAAACGAACACCCAAGGGCCAGTCAGTATATGTCCTTGATACTAAACATATGCTAACAATTGGGTTATAATATAGCTTTTATGCCCGATCGATATGTCAAAACACAGCTCGAGATCATTGCCGGGCAGAATCCTATTAAGAAATGGATCCTCACCCTTGGATGGCAGCGTGCCAGCTACGTCTACGAACCAGGTCGTGGACCTGAGAACGGATTGCTCGATTTCTGGGCGTCTGCTATGGAGCGTATTGCGTGGATTTGGGTGAATCACACCAAGGTTTAGTGTTCATATTCACTGTTAATGCCAATGGCATAGATGTCAGGCTTGTATAATCTGTAGAGACATCAGCATAGGTGGTATTCAGAACCCAGGTGGTCTAGTTAGTAGATCGCTAAGAAACCATATCTGTTCCTAACGCCTTCCAAGCAGTGTATGCTGGTTTGAATCCTACGGACCGCAATTCGTCGTCAGAAATAACATACTAGGAGTGATATTGACTGCCACCTGATGTTCAACGAAATTCCAGCTCAGTGGCAAAAATCATCCAAGGAGTCATCTCGAAAGGCTTTATTCTTTCTGCCGGGCAGCCGAAGTCATGCTACCTACTAGGCTGTTACCTTTCAAGTACGTAGCGAGCTATCGTATTCACGGGTAGGAAATGCATTGAGATGAAGTCGGCTGAATGCGGACATCCACAGGTGACTCCCATGGGCTGCCGTTTGGCGGGTCGTGTCTCACTATACACCGAAGCGAAGGCCTTCGGATCAGATAAAAGCGCCACAGCACGCTAAAGGACCCAGACCAGCAGCCCAATCTAATCAGACTATCAGAGAAATTATGAGATTCGATACAATTCGGAACGTTTCACAAGACGAGCATCCGGCTAGGCGTGAGCACGCGGCCATACTCACTAAGCAACGCACTATAGGTCGGCTTGTTTTTCCATAGAGGGAAATGTTTCCGAGATGAGCCCAGCTGCCTGACTGTCATGGAGTATTGCTTTGCTAATCGAAACAATGCGGGTCGAGATTCAGCCATGTGTGGACAGGGCAATTTGAGCCGAAAGGAAGGGCGCACGTGGAAAAAGAAGTTATCAGATCCTTTTGGTCTGCGGTTCCACTTTAGAGTGGATGTGCTCGTAAACTACCAAGTTAGGTAGGTACATCGGGAACATAGTTATGCCTCATAGAATTCAATGAAGGCACATGGAGGCTGTATTTGTTTCATACCTTAATAAGATTACTTACATTACTTACTAGCGGTATATTTTAATACCTTACTTAGGTTATTGTTACATACCATACCGCAGTTCAGTAAACGGAAACAAACACGCAGCGAGCTGCAGGTCGCTCAAAACTCGGCGTGGGCCCCTGCAATTCTTGACAGTATCGAGACTAGTATACTCCGTAAACATGTGATGGTTCGGAAGTTCGACGCTTGGAATAATGATAATCAAGCTAGCCGTCCAACCAGATAGCCTTGCAAGGCTGTGATTATTAGTATGTGTCAAAGCTCCCGAGCTCATTGCCAAGAGGGCTCTACAGATTGCAAGAACAGAAAAATGGGTTCGGATAGTCATAACATTCTGCGTTCAGATCGTTACATGAATATTATAAATAATAACGCACAAAGAGTAAAGCCGGTCTATGACTGCCTGGTGGCAGCTAGTTGTGTTTTATATACGATAGGAAACGGATCGTCAACAGTATCGTTGTCGAAATTTATCTCCAAAGACGAAGGCAAACACATCAGAAGACAGTACCCTTGACCTGAGCAACCTTCTTCAGGTCGATGTCTCGGATCATGAGGGACCAGAAGATGCACAGACCCATAAGACCAGTGCCAACAGCAAGCATTCTCGTCTGAGAATAGGCATAAGCTTCCTGAATAGCCAGTCTCGCCGCAGATCCGACCGGATAAATCAGCTGTTGGGCAAGATCCTCGTAAATCAGATCGAGGTCTCCCATCACATTCTCTGGAAGCCTCGTCGCAAGGGCTTTGTAGAATGTGTTGGTCCAGATTGCGGCACAGATGGTAGAACCGGCAGCATTACCGACAGTACCCACGACGTTCAGCAGGGCAAGAACAGTTGCGACGTGCTGGTGGTCGGCGGCAGCTAAGATAGCAAGCTGCTCAACAATGATGAAAACAGATCCACCAATAGAGATGAAAATCTGGCACATGACAAGATAACCAACAGACTGGTTGGGACGGCGGAAGTGAATCATCAATCCCTGAGCAAAGATGTACAGTGGAACCGCAATGTAAAGAGTCCATTTGAAGCGACCAGTCTTGCGAATGACAAAACCGACTCCGAGCAAAAGGAAGCCGGATACCACGTCGAAAGTGTTGCTAACGTAACCGGCCTCAGAGATACTCAGGTCATTGACTACCTGCAAAAAGGATGTGTAGTAGTTGTTCCAGCAGTAGTAAGAGAGCTGGTATGTCGCGTCAAGCAAGCAAGCGCCAATGACAGTGCGATCGGTCAACAGACTGAAGTCGAACATTGGAGTGGGAGCAAAGCGGAACTCCCAAACAAGGAAGACACCAAGCATAACAAATCCGAGCACGATCATAGCAATGATGTAGCCCGATGCCCAGCCGTCAGGAGCATAAGTAGAAATACTGAATGGAAGGAGGAAGATTGTAAGGCCGATGGAGAACACGAGAACACCAAACACTATGTAACTTAGTATTTCGCAAGGTGCAACGCTTTGGAAAGCTCTTCACTCACAGTCAAATTCCTTGGTATAGAACCAAACGCTCTGCAAGAAAGTCCGGCCGCTAGGCTCCTTGACTATAAGACCGTTCTGCTTGGCCTTCTTAAGGTTGCTTTTCAAAATGAAGTAAAGAGGGGAGGCA